CTTTTCCTGTCAGGTTTAATGGAGTGTTTTTGCACGTAAGATGCATTCCACATCAGAATTCGCAAAGATTGTTCTGAGCAAGTGTGTGATTCATGCTGGATTCGTCAAGGTGGCATGAACCCTTCGGGGAATGCTTTTCTAAGCAAAATGTGGATGCAACGACCCGATGTCTGAATTTTCACATTTTAAGCTAGTAATTCGTTTAAGTAAAGTGAAACAGCCGTTCACCTTTCAGGTTTCACTCTGTCGGTCGTCTTTTGGTTAAACAGTCTGCCGCTGTGACTGGCCTCACCATTTTTGTCAGACTTCAAAGGGTTTGTAGACTGAAGCCGCGACAGCAATCTCCTTTTTCAGCAATGCTCGAGAGACAGACTGATTCCATTTGTCACATGTAAATAGGACATGCTTTACAGGTGTGGTCACTTTCTTTTGGTTACTCTGGTGAGGTTCAATTGTGCACGTAATTCAAGGGTTGACGACGTAAGCTGTCCATGGGGTTGACTTGAATACCGAGGGCCTTGAGCCTTATCACGACTCTTGCATGGATTGTGGATGCATCATTTCATTAACTAGTCCCCCATGGGTCCCCTATTTCATGTGTTCTCCTCTCTACAGGTAGGTTGGGTTCTGCGCGTGCCTAGGTAGGCGTAGGTTTCGCTGTGGTAGGTTGGTTTAGGCGCTTCCGTCCTTCCCCCCCTCCGCTGGTCTTGTTCTGTGTCCGTCGGCCTCCGCTTTTCTTTTCCCTTGCCCTTTCAGGGTTTGCCCGCTTTGGGCCAGGTTTGCCTGTGTTGGTGTTTGCTCCTTCCCTCTTCTTTTGCGTTCCCCTCTTCGCGTCCTGGTTAAGTAACTTTCATCTCATTTTCATCTTACCTCATCTTCATTTCCTTTCAATTTCACTTCATTTTCATTTCATTGTCCGGACCTTAATTTTCCCACCTTCCCGCTGGAGGGTGTGTGTGTGTGGAACATCTGAATAGATGTAAAACCTCTACTTAAGCAGGGGATGGTAATGGACGCCGCTGGGGAACATTGCAGTCAGCGGCCAACGAAGACGCTGCAATGTTCCTGTGAAAACGTACCTGCAATTTTCCAGTTTTTCGTCAATGGCAACCGGCTAAGCCAAGAACCGGCATGTCGTTTTCAAACAATTTTCAAACCAAACTTGATGTCAGGGAGGGAACGATTTGCATCTAGCAAGGACGTGGAAATACAAACTTCGAGATTCTTCTCTGATCTTGTCTTCATACTTTTCCTGTCAGGTTTAATGGAGTGTTTTTGCACATAAGATGCATTCCACATCAGAATTCGCAAAGATTGTTCTGAGCAAGTGTGTGATTCATGCTGGATTCGTCAAGGTGGCATGAACCCTTCGGGGAATGCTTTTCTAAGCAAAATGTGGATGCAACGACCCGATTTCTGAATTTTCACATTTTAAGCTAGTAATTCGTTTAAGTAAAGTGAAACAGCCGTTCACCTTTCAGGTTTCACTCTGTCGGCCGTCTTTTGGTTAAACAGTCTGCCGCTGTGACTGGCCTCACCATTTTTGTCAGACTTCAAAGGGTTTGTAGACTGAAGCCGCGACAACAATATCCTTTTTCAGCAATGCTCGAGAGACAGACTGATTTCATTTGTCACATGTAAATAGGACATGCTTTACAGGTGTGGTCACTTTCTTTTGGTTACTCTCGTGAGGTTCAATTGTGCACGTAATTCAAGGGTTGACGACGTAAGCTGTCCATGGGGTTGACTTGAATACCGAGGGCCTTGAGCCTTATCACAACTCTTGCATGGATTGTGGATGCATCATTTCATTAACTAGTCCCCCATGGGTCCCCTATTTCATGTGTTCTCCTCTCTACAGGTAGGTTGGGTTCTGCGCGTGCTTAGGTAGGCGTAGGTTTCGCTGTGGTAGGTTGGTTTAGGCGCTTCCGTCCTTCCCCCCCTCCGCTGGTCTTGTTCTGTGTCCGTCGGCCTCCGCTTTTCTTTTCCCTTGCCCTTTCAGGGTTTGCCCGCTTTGGGCCAGGTTTGCCTGTGTTGGTGTTTGCTCCTTCCCTCTTCTTTTGCGTTCCCCTCTTCGCGTCCTGGTTGAGTAACTTTCATCTCATGTTCATCTTCACCTCATCTTCATTTCCTTTCAACTTCATTTCATTTTCATCTCATTGTCCGGACCTTAATTTTCCCAGCCTCCCGCTGGAGGGTGTGTGTGTGTGTGGAACATCTGAATAGATGTAAAACCTCCCGGCGGACCTGGCACCGGCCCATGATTGTCCAAAAATTGTTGTTTCGCTGTGGCGCCAACGCGATTTCATGTGGCAAACGACCATCAAAAAAAAATCCGCTTTACTGTGGTTTGCAACCCTTACAGGGTTTTGTGCTGCAAAACCCGACGAACGAACAAAGTGGCCTTTTCTCTTCACCGCATGAGAGATCTTGCAGCTTCGCCAGTTGCGGTCAGCAAGTCGGATCCAGTGTGTTCCCATCTCCATTGTTGACTTCGAGTGTACTTGAACAACAAACCATTGCGTTTGCCTTGGACTTGGGATCGAATGATATCACACCACACCCCACCCCACCACCACCCCACCCCATGCGTAGCGTCGCATCGCATCATGTCTTGCAGTACTGACGAATGATATCATATCACACCCAACCCCACCCCATGCGTAGCGTAGCATCACATCATGTCTTGCAGTAATGACGAATGATATCACAACCCACTCCACCCCACCCCATGCGTAGCGTAACATCACACCATGTCTTGCAGTACTGACGAATAATATCACACCCAGCCCCACCCCATGCGTAGAGTAGCATCGCATCATGTCTTGCAGTACTGACGAATGATATCACACCCCACCCCACCCCACCCCATGCGTAGCGTAGCATCACATCATGTCTTGCAGTATTGACGCGTAGCGTAGCATCGCATCATGTCTTGCAGTACTGACGAATCTTAGCAGCATGCTGACGATAATATCACACCCAACCCCACCCCATGCGTAGCGTAGCATCGCATCATGTCTTGCAGTACTGACGAATGATATCACACCCAACCCCACCCCATGCGTAGCGTAGCATCGCATCATGTCTTGCAGTACTGACGAATGATATCACACCCCACCCCACCCCACGCGCAGAGTTGCATCCCATCATGTCTTGCAGTTCTGACGATTGATATCACACCCCACCCCACCCCACCCTACCCCAATTTGTGGGCCGGTAAAGGGTCCGTCTACCTTAAAGCAGGGGATGGTAATGGACGCCGCTGGGGAACATTGCAGTCAGCGGCCAACGAAGACGCTGCAATGTTCCTGTGAAAACGTACCTGCAATTTTCCAGTTTTTCGTCAATGGCAACCGGCTAAGCCAAGAACCGGCATGTCGTTTTCAAACAATTTTCAAACCAAACTTGATGTCAGGGAGGGAACGATTTGCATCTAGCAAGGACGTGGAAATACAAACTTCGAGATTCTTCTCTGATCTTGTCTTCATACTTTTCCTGTTAGGTTTAATGGAGTGTTTTTGCACGTAAGATGCATTCCACATCAGAATTCGCAAAGATTGTTCTGAGCAAGTGTGTGTGCATGTACGCGCGCATGCCGGCATACAAACACAGACTACGTCAACGGGATTGACTTTTTACATTAAAGTATGTGAACGGGACTTTTTCCTCTAACTAATATCCCCCATAGTAGAAAATAAGAAATAGCGGGTAGGGGGCATAGGGGCCTGGGAAAAAGTACCATTTAATTTCTCTTAGAAATTAAGCAATATCAACAATTACTTTACTTCGTGTGATCCCCACCATGACATTTATACATTTTGTTACTGGCAAATCTTCTGGCATTCTATCGGACATTTTATCTGGCATTCTATCTGGCATACCTTCTGGCATTCTATCTGGCATATCTTCTGGCATTCTATCTGGCATATCTTCTGGCATTCTACCTGGCATATGTTCTGGCATATATTCTGGCATATCTTCTGGCATATTATCTGGCAAATCTTCTGGCATTCTATCCGGCAAACATTCTGGCACTTTATCTGGCATACCTTCTGGCATTCTATCTGGCATATCTTCTGGCATTCTACCTGGCATATCTTCTGGCATATGTTCTGGCATATCTTCCGGCATTCTATCTGGCATATCTTCTGGCATATTATCTGGCAAATCTTCTGGCATTCTATCTGGCAAACATTCTGGCACTTTATCTGGCACTTTATCTGGCATACCCCTTCACATTCTATCTGACATTTTATCTATCTGGCATACCTTCTGGCATTCTATCTGGCATATCTTCTGGCATTCTACCTGGCATATGTTCTGGCATATCTTCTGGCATTCTATCTGGCCGTTGAGGTCCAGCGGTGCACACTGAGCTGGGCAGGTCCCAGGTTGAGGTCCAAGGTGCACACTGAGCTGGGAAGGTCCCAGGTTGAGGTCCAGCGGTGCACACTGAGCTGGGAAGGTCCCAGGTTGAGGTCCAGCGGTGCACACTGAGCTGGGAAGGTCCCAGGTTGAGGTCCAGCGGTGCACACTGACCCAGGTTGAAGTCCAGCGGTGCACACTGAGCTGGGGAGGTCCCAGGTTGAGGTCCAGCGGTGCACACTGAGCTCGGACGTTGGCGAAGAGCTTGGCGAAGAGTTGGCAAGGCGGAAGTGGAGGTGGAAGTTGATGCAGACATGGTCGAGGAGAAACTGGAGGAGGAGGCGGAGGAGGAGCAGGAGGAGCAGGAGGAGGAGGAGAGCTAGCCGAGGAGGAAGAGGAGGAGAACAACTCTGATAAAATCTAACAACCCTCACCTGGCAGGTGGGGAATTGCTTAAACATACATTTAAACACCTCCGGCTATTTTTCCAGACCCTTGCATTTCTGCGGGGCGTTGGGTCTATATATAGCATGAACATTCAAACAAACATATTCTAATAAAATTGTTTCATATAATTATATTAGCGGCAACCTGTTTTCATCATCATTGTGCAGAACATGCAGCTTCGGTACCTCGCAAGGCATCAGAACCAGCTGCTGTGATCCTGAGTCAAAGCATCTTGGCAGAGGTGCTTTTGAAGCGTCAAAAAGGATTGGAACGGCCAACCAATACAATCATCAGGACAAGCCCTGAAAAGGGCGCCAAGAAGCAAAAGACGCAAAGGTTGAACCAATCAGCAACCTCTACATGACGCAAAAAACACTGTACACATACATGCAATATATATATATAGATATACACATATATATTTATTTACTTATGTTATGTTACGATGAGAAGTAGCAACGTCAATAGCTCATAGCGCCCGCTCCAGGACAAAGCAATGAAGAAAACGCGCGCCATAAACTTTACCTACCAATTTGCTTTTCCTGCTGGTGAAACAATCGAGAAAGCAAGTGACACTTTTGCTTCGGACCTGTCGTGGACATGCGATCCGTGTATATTGGGATGGAGTTTGGATACTCAGTGACCATCATTGTCATATATTGTCATCTGATCTATCCACTTTTACGATGCTTCCTTTGCTACTGTAAGAGTTCACAAACATCCTCCAACTGAGCTTCTAGCATTTTCCAAAAGCAGTCAACGTGCAACACGTGGTTGCAGGATAGCACCAAGACACTGCACGCAACACGAAGTGAGTGCAGTTGATGTCATCAACCAATCAGCCAATTTGTATGTGACCTCTTGATTGCAGCAACTTCTTGGGCTGAGCTCTTATGTAGCCGAACTATACCGGAGCCTGAACACCGCAAGTTGGACACCTCACCTTCCAGCAATCATCACTGGCCTGTCATCTGCTCTCCATCCCGCGAGGCAAATAGGGCACGCGCCCTGAGGCAAACAGGGGACAATGGAGGGAAACGGCGACGTGGATTCTGGAAGCAGTCTGGAACGCAACTCCTGGAACATTCATGAGGCTCAGTCAGAAGGTTTGAAATAGTTCTCTTTTGGTTCACCTATGCCCTTGTTGGTGCTTGTTCTCCGCAGGGGATTTTTAGTTCTGATCTCCTTTCGTTGGAAGTAGTATGTATAACAAGACATGCAAGACTTCTGCAGGCCTCAGGGTCTTTGTCGCATACTGCTTTTGAGGTGGCCGATGAGAGAGCTTTCAGCTCTTCTGAAGGACCTCGCTATTGTGATTGACGGATTTGGGATTCTTTGATTCCACGCTGCTCAAGATAGAGAGTTTCTTCGGACTCGCTATTGTGATTGACAGGTTTGGGATTCTTTGATTCCACGCTACTCAAGATGGAGGGTTTTTTCGGAATTATTTTGCCCCTCTCTACTGATTGCAGAAGGCTCCAAAAGTTTGGGCTCATTGTTGGAGCCTAAGATGATCACACCGAGAGGACTCATATTTCAGAATGACATACAAACCCGCTTCAAGTCCACCTACTGTACACTGGCATGCATTTTAGATTGATTGTTTTCGTCACAAGTCGCCATCAAGCATTACCAGGGCCATCGCCATCTTTCTTCGCGCATGCCACGCTGACCTCAGTTGCGACGTTGCGACAATGTGACTAGGTCTTGAAATGGCCTTGAGCCAAAATCTCAAAAGCCATCCTGTCATCAGCGGCAGCGTTCCTTTGGTCACAAAGCCGATCAGCATTCAGGAGGGGTACGGGCACCCAAAGTTCATATTGTGAAGGTGTAGTAAACGCATTCAATCTGCACACATAAGCGCGCAAGCGCTGGCACATGCTTAATTACTAACGTCAAACAACGCGCAGAACCTGAAATGCAATCTTGCGCTACTGCGTCGCAATACATCCAGTATGTAAAGATCAAATCAAGAATCGCAAAGCAGGCTAGCTGAACTGGTCTTGCACTGCATCTGACCCCAGCATCAGCGCCCTCACGGCAGCGAAATGTTTGTGAGCGGAATATGGAAAACTGTGATCCCAACTGCCCTGTGGAGAAGGGAGAAGCTCCGAGGAGATACCTCACAATGTACAGCTATCCAAACGAAGGCTTGGTTGGACGGAGGCCCGCCCAAAACAGATTCCAAGTTATTCCCAATATTTCCAAAACAGGCAAAGTTACTTTCACTCAATGGCGCTGAAGTGATTCGGAAAATCATTTATGGTAGAATGGTAGAACCGGGAAGAAGTAACATGCAAAAATCAGCGTCCGAATCAGAGGAGCAAAAGTGCTCCAGCAATCTAACGTTGCTCTCCTCGCAGCAAACAGGTTTCATAAGAGCCTGGCAAGTAAGATTCCCTCTTATTGGCAAGCTTATGAATGGGGCCCCATCTTATCACAGCATGATCGCTCGGCCCATCGGACTTCTTCCTTGCGCGTTGCCTTTGCACCTTGGAGCTTCTGCAGAAGTTCATCAGCGCGGACACGCCTTTCCTCCCAACCTCAGCGTCAAACAGCATGGCACTTTGTATTTGCAGTGGCGGGCTGTTCGGCTGAGGAGCAGGGACGTTGGAAAACTGTCCTGCTAGTGGACCGTGCTGAAACAACTGGATCAACTGATATAATGCCTGTCGGTCAATGACTGTTTTCCCTACTGTTTGGATCTGATGTAGGATCTATTTCCCATAGCTAGAAGCACTTTGCTTGGATGATCGTTGTGTCCCTTGTGCTGAACCATGCTCAAGAGAAAGGCAGTGTCCATGCAGCACACATGGAATCCCTGAAGCGCATGGAAGCACACTTCATGTTTCTAGATGGCAGCAATCTCAGAATTGCATTCCAAACCGCCTCGCCAGGAAGGAACAATCACCCTGGCTTTGTAAGGTGTGTTGAGAATCTTACGTTAGATCATGGAGATCCTGACTTTGCTTTGAGCCAGCTGCGCTCGTCACCGATGTGCTTGCGGATCGCTTGGTGATAGTCAATAGCCTGGATTCAGTGGCCTGTAGATTGATGAACTTACCCCCAAAGTGACATCAGCTTAAGCATGCATAAGAATAAACAAGAACAAAAAAGACACGTTTTAATGACGCAAGTATGTTTATGTCTGGCTTATTTAGAACCTTGAGCTGACTGCGACCTTCCTGGCTTGTTTCTCACATTCCTGACATACAAGTGAGCTCGCAAAATGATCTAGATCTAACCTCCACTTCGGATGTTTAGCAAAAAGGGCAAGCCAAGTGAAGCTCAAAAGCCCATCTCGTGCAATTTTGATAATTCCGTCTTTAATAAATAGACCCCGATGGCGTTGCTTGCCTCGAGGACATCGCACAAGTTCACATGGCCAGGCAATGCCTTCCCAATATCAACATACGCTCACTGGTGCGGGACAAACAAAGGCCAGCAGCTGAGCAAACTACCCCAGACGCCATCCACAACTGCAACAAAAGAGACTGGAAGATTTACTGGAGGTCAAATGAATTTCAGAACGGGTCTACAAGGCAGACTGCATTGGCCAGCAGCGAACAGGAGGACTAGAGGCTACGTAAGTTCTAAGCCTTGATACAAGATGAAAGCATGCACTTATAGGAGCTCATCAATGCCCGTTTCATCTTGTCCGGCTCCTCGCTGAAAAGCATCAGGGAGCACGCGGCCTCAACGCTCTTAGCATTCCCAAACTGGCTTACCCAGACAGGTGAAAAGCCCGCCAGGCAAATCTGACACAGCATGACCACCTTGAGATTGCCTGTGAAAACCGCCTTCCTCCAAATTGAAACAAACATCAAACAGAATTAACAGAATTACAGAATCATGTGTTCCTCCTGGGCATGCCTGAGCATCTGCTCTGCGGTCAGTTTTAGTTTGCTATGGCCGCAACCTCAATTTACAATATTCCATTACTCAGTCGGTTGCAGTTGATCGCCACCGAGCAGGGGACTGGAGCATCGTAGCGGCGGGGGTTGGAACACCTCCAGCTCCTTACAATTCAGAACTGAAGGGTGGGCTTTGAAAGTCGGGCTGTGCTTTATAGGCGCAGACTTTAGGGAGTGTTGAATATGCAGCTTGCGATTACTGTAGGTGCTTCTTGCAGCTTGATCCCTGAGAAACCTTTGGATGTATGCAGGGAATCAAAGGATGCACATGCACGAGATGAGAATACTTTCAACATCTGTCAGCCCAATCACCAATTCAAAGCGGAAAATGACACCATGTATAAACTCAACAAATTACAATTCTATTGTTTTGATAAAAAGTCTCACATACAGATATGCGGCCTGCATGGTGCATCAGTGAAGCTATCCCTTGTATGCCTGTCGCATCTATGTCACCATTGACATCATCACATGGAGTCATTCGGCAGCACCTTTGCGACAGGGTCACTTTCACACCTTTTGAGGGGTGACAACGGGTGCCCAATCTTTGAAGAGTTTGACCCCGGGCATCCAAGCAAATGCCACGCCAGCTCACTGGGGTCTGGGTCGCCCTGTGACCAAACACGCTGCAGAGACGCAACCCGCATTCCAGCTACAGCATATCGAACATTGTCAAACTTGCAGCCTGTTACTTTCAAGCTTCGTCTGCATACTCTGACACGCAGGTGCTGACAAAACTCCTAGATGACCACACTTAAATTGAAGTCATGCCACGGCTGTTTTCATTGCAGCTGATAGACTGGGCCTTGGTCAGAGCCTCCACGAACATGTCCAAGAAAGGCTCTTTGACCTTCCTTCCAAGCAGCAAATCAATGAGGCAATACAGTGAAGAGGTGTTCGAAAGTGTTTGAACCCGACTTTCCAACTGGCATCGCAGCAGATTCTACTGTAGCCCAATCAGAAGTTTGTCTACCGGCTAAGTGTGCTAAAGCCTCCCCGCAAGTCTGCGGTTCCACAACAAGGCAGCACCAAAACATTTATTGTGCTCTTTTGGAGTACTTGCAAGGTGCAGGTGTAAAGGCTTGATGCTTAAGATGCTTACTGCTTACAGGTAAATAATCTTCGGTGGTATCCCCAACAGCCGCAACGTTTTATTTTTACAAATCTTTCTGAAGCCTGCTGCGAAGCCAGGCGCTGGAACCTTCTCCGGAACCCTGTTGAACCTGACCTGGCTGCGCCAAAGCCTGCCAGACCTTCTCCGGGAACCTTCTCCGGGAACCTTCTCCGGAACCCTGTTGAACCTGACCTGGCTGCACCAAAGCCTTCCTGGAACACTCTCCGGAACCTTCTCTAAAACCCTGTCTTTGCCCTGGCTTTGCACCAAAGCCTCCCAGACCTTCTCCGGAACCTTCTCCGGAACCCTGTTGAACCTGACCTGGCTGCGCCAAAGCCTGCCAGACCTTCTCGGGGAACCTTCTCCGGAACCCTGTTGAACCTGACCTGGCTGCACCAAAGCCTTCCTGGAACACTCTCCGGAACCTTCTCTAAAACCCTGTCTTTGCCCTGGCTTTGCACCAAAGCCTCCCAGACCTTCTCCGGAACCTTCTCCGGAACCCTGTTGAACCTGACCTGGCTCTGCACCAAAGCCTCCCAGACCTTCTCCGGAACCTGTTCCGGAACCCTGTTGACCTGACCGGGCTTTGCACCAAAGCCTCCCAGACCTTCTCCGGAACCTTCTCTGGAAGCCTGTTGAACTTGACCTGGCTCTGCACCAAAGCCTCCCAGACCTTCTCCGGAACCTGTTCCGGAACCCTGTTGAACCTGACTTGGCTTTGCACCAAGCCTTCCTGGAACCCTCTCCGGAAGCTTCTCCGGAACCCTGTTGAACCTGACTTGGCTTTGCACCAAGGCTTCCTGAACCTTCTCCGGAACCTGCTCCGGAACCCTGTTGAACCTGACCTGTCTCTGCACTAAAGCGTCCCAGACCTTCTTCGGAACCTTCTCCGGAACCCTGTTGAACCTGACCTGGCTCTGCACCAAAGCCTTTCAGACCTTCTCCGGAACCTTCGGAACTTTCTCCGGGACCTCGTTGAACCTGACCCGGCGCCTGCACCAGTGCACACTGGAGCTATTCTGGGCTGAAGACACCATTGGCTTACGCTGTTGGGGAAAAGTATTAAAATGCAAACTGATTGTACTTGCTACTCATATATATATATGATATATGCTGCTGCCCACCTTACTTGTTCCAATTCGCGGAGCTTCTTTGCTGAAACAGCTGCATTCTTTACATTGCCCTTTTTCCGGAGTGCCTGGCAGCAAGTCTTGCCTATCAATGACTAGCCAACTCATATTCTGCTTCACTTTGATGTTGCGTGTCATGGAGAGCAAAGCAAACAATCTTGACCAGCAGGCAGTACACAGCCTTGAAGAAACCTTCTTCGTGTGAACTCAAGGTGCGAATCCGTTTGGATAGTGTTTTGCAAGGCTGGTTGTCACCTCTACCCTGAGACAGCAAGCAAAAAGGGTGTAAGTTGGTCCAATTCCGGTACCCCAGTTGCCCGTCGCTATCATCTCCAACTTCTGAAAGGTATTGAACAGTCATATCTATAAGACATATCCGTAGAAATCAAATCTCCCAAAATTGCCTGGGATGCTGGCCGTTTGGCCGCGGCCTTTGACTTTGGCGGCATGGTGGGCAATGAAGCAAACAGCTTCAGAATGTCAGAATTGACGATATATCCTCGCATGTGAACATGTTCTAATGTCTTCTAGTGCGTTGTAATGTGCCCTATATTATATGTTCTGAATCACTCAAAAGCACTGCTTGAAGTCGATTCTTCCGCAGAATGGGAGGGCATGATTTTGAGCCAGCACCTTGTGACAAGACCGCGTTGGATGCGTTTTCAGTAACTGGTCCCGAGCCTCACGTGGCCACTATGTAGTGTAATCTCACCTACCAAACATTCTGAGCCGAAACACATAATTATGGGCAACTCGATTCACACGGTGCAACATGCATCTACCCTGACAACAGGCGACCAAGAGACCTTTCTTAACCCTCTGTTCCAGTATATGTGGTTCTTTCAGCAACAGGGGATACATGGTGTAGAGCGCAACATCAGAGCAACTAGTGTCGGGATCTGCTGGGCGCAAATGTTTTTTCTATGAGCGAAGTTCCACGGTCAATCCCTGCTGCTCGAGGGCCTTAGTCGTCAAACGTGCTGAACTTCGGGCCAAATAAATCTTCAAAAGTCTTTCAGAGTCTTTCAGTCAACCCGGTCCTTGTCCACGTCAGCCAGGATTCGTGCTTGCAGCATGGTCACAAAATGATTATTGTATCTTGTATATCATTGCCTCCACCACATGTACTTGGCCTCCGGCTCTGACTGACAGCCGGCAGCTCGGCGATATTTGACCTCGTGAAGCTCAAGACAAAACTGATTGAGACAAACATACTTTATCATACTTTATCTGACCTTGTGAGCTTATCTCCTTACTGGACCCTTCTATTATCCTCTTGTAGGGTTTCATGCCGCATGCTTAAAACACGCTGCTTAGATTGCCTTGGTGCTTGTCACGAAGCACTCTGGCACCTGCTAAAGCGTCGCCAAAGCCCATGTACTTGATACATTTTTTGTCACCTGACGAGCTCATTGTTTCTGATCACCAGCACTGTGGGAGTATGGGGGCAGGCCGGCAGTGGCAGGATCGAATAAGAAACTCTGCTTTAGACCAGGACCTATTGGCCTTGTAAGTGCTTAAGGTGCATTGTGCATGCAACCTGCGACATCCTCCGACAATCAGAGATCTTTGTCACAGGTGAGTACAGTGGCAAACAGAGTTGAACGTACAGCTACAAGCAGAGCCCGGGCAAGCGGGTAATGGAAGTTTTGAAAGGGGGAGAAGGCTAGAAAGGAAAGGGAGAGCCTAGAGGAACGACGCCTGGCCGCCTGGCTGGCACGGCTGTTGACGGTGTCATCTCTTGGAACTCTTTGTCCTTGACATTTCTTGCCCTCGGCATCTTGTCTGATGATGCCACTTTCTCTTGATCCCGTTTGCCCTTGTCAATTCTGAATCTCGACAGCCTTTCCGGTTGCCTCCTGCTTGTCTGGACGTCTTTTTGTGCTTGACATGTTTTTGGCATGTTTTTCTCTCGGCTTCCTTTTCTGATGATGCCACTTTCTCTCCATCTGGTTTGCACTTGTCACCGCTGAATCTCGACAGCCCTTCCTTTTGCCTGCTGCTTGTCTGGACGTCTTTTTCTCCTTGACATGTTTTTCTCTCGGCTTCCTTTTCTGATGATGCCACTTTCTCTCCATCCAGTTTGCGCTTGTCATCTCTGAATTTTGACGACCCCTCCCGTTGACAGCTCTGGGGCTCGAGACCTGACACACTCTTCTCTCCTCACAAACTTCTTTCACTCCCCTTCCCAGTCTTTTGACTTCCCTATATATAGCCTTTTCACGTCCCTACACTTTTCATTTCTCTAGTCTTTTCACTCTTCACGTCCCCATTTTCTTCACTAGCGATCCAAATGGACCCCAAAGTGAAGCCATGTGATGGCTTTTGTGGCATATGGACATCCGGTCATGTGCAACATTGCGCAACTTGGGGCCCTTTAGCGACAGCTTCGCACCAAGTTGGGCCCAACGGAGACACAACATGGGGAACATAGCCTCAAACGAAGCGTCACGATAGCAAAAAAAGTGGACGATACCAGTGAAAGGGGTGTTTTGAGGATTTCGGATTGGGCAGGCCATGTCCCCCATTTTGAAGCCGGGCCATACGGACTTCAACTTAGTAAGACGTTGCTCCCAAACGGGTCCAAGTTGGGGCCAAGTTGCTCCATCTTGGAGGCAAGTTGGGCCGAAGTTGACCCCAAGTGGAGCGGATGTTGCAACATGGGGCCCCACCCGCTCAGCTGAAGCTGTATCAGTCTGACAGATCTGTCCGTTCGTATCCGCTGCTAAACTACCACGCCTCGGCACCTTCGGTGCGGGCGGATTTCTGCTAGTGTTTTGCCGACTGGGGCACAAAATAATTATCGGCATGATTCCAGAACCCAGCTTCTTGGGGAACTCATATTCTGTACTTGTCTCCCTTCATCTGTCTCCCTGTCTTGCTGGTGGTGTCCGATGGTGTCTGGCTCTTTGGATGTCTGTCTTCAACTCCCCCCCTTGATTTGTCTCCCAGTCTGGCAGGTGGTGCCCGGCTCTCCGGATGTCTCTCTTTATTGGTCTCCCTTCATTTTTCTCCCTGTGTGCTTGCGGTGTCCGGCTCTCCGGATGTGTGTTTTTGCTTGTCTCTTTTTGTTTGCCTCCCCGTCTGGCTGGTGGCGTCGGGCCCTTTGGATGCCTCTCTTTAATTCTTTTTGTATACTTACTGTTTCCCATCATTTGGCTCCCTTTTTGGCTGGTGGTGTCCGGCTCTTTGGATGTGTCTCTTCACTTGTTTCCCTTCATTTGTCTCCCATGCTGTCTAGTGGTGTCCGGCTGTCCGGATGTCTTTTGTGTGTTTTCACTTGTCTCTCATCGCGTGCCTCTCGCCATGTGTCTCCCAATTTTTCCGTCTCCCAATTAATTTGTCTCCAATTCATCGGTCTGCCTTTGTGCTGACGTCCCGCTCTTTCGCCTGTTCGCCTTTGTGTGTCTTCCATCATTTGTCTCTCACCTTCTGTCCCGTACTTCATGTGTCTCTGAAATCATTTGTCTTCAGTTCTATGCCTGCCTTAGTGGCGGTGTCGTGTTCTAGTTTCATCATGACTTTATTCATGTTTCATGCTTGTCTCTTTTCTTTACCCCCTTTGTGTTTTCTTGTTGTCCCAAGATAAAATCATGTTCCAGCACAGTTTTATGTGTTTTACATTGTTTTACCACTTGTTTTCCACGTGTCTCCTACCTTGCCTCCCTCTGATTGTCTCAGATACAAATGCCGTGGCAAAAATCGAAACCGTGTGGCATGAAAAAATTACTTTACTTCGTGTGATCCCCACCATGACATTTATACATTTTCTTACTGGCAAATCTTCTGGCATTCTATCTGACATATCTTCTGACATTCTATTTGACATTCTATCTGGCATATCTTCTGGCATATGATCTGGCATATCTTCTGGCATATCTTCTGGCATTCTATCTGGCAAATCTTCTGGCATTCTATCTGGCATATCTTCTGGCACTCTATCTGACATATCTTCTGGCATTCTATCTGGCATATCTTCTGGCATATATTCTGACATATCTTCTGGCATTCTATCTGACATATCTTCTGGCATATATTCTGGCATATCTTCTGGCATATCTTCTGGCATATCTTCTGGCATATCTTCTGGCATATCTATCTGGCATATCTTCTGGCATATTTTCTGGCATTCTATCTGGCAAATCTTCTGGCATTCTATCTGGCATTCTATCTGGCATATCTTCTGGCATATCTTCTGGCATTCTTTCTGACATTCTTTCTAACTTTTTCTGCACATTCTTTGTCCCATATCTTCCTACATGAGGTCAGGGAACACTTGGCGTGGATACTCGCGGTTGAGGTCCGGCAGGGAACACTGGGCGGGGATACTCGCGGTTGAGGTCCGGCAGGGAACACTGGGCGTGGATGGTCGCGGTTGAGGTCCGGCAGGGAACACTGGGCGTGGATGGATGGTCGTGGTTGAGGTCCGGCAGGGAACATGGGCATGGATGGTCGTGGTTGAGGTCCGGCAGGGAACACTGGGCGTGGATGGTCGTGGTTGAGGTCCGGCAGAGAACACTGTGGATCGCGGGTCGCAGTTGAGCAAGGACGACGAGGACGACGAGGACGACGAGGAGGACGAGGAGGAGGAGGAGAGGAGGACGAGGCAGGAGGAGGCGGAGGAGGAGGAGGAGAAGGAGGAGGAGAAGGAGGAGAAGGAGGAGGAGGAGGCAACTGACATAAAATCTAACAACCCTCACCTGGCAGGTGGGGAAAAAACATGCTTGTGATTCATGCTCTTGTCAATTGACATGGATCAAAAGCTGCCAGCATCAGGAGCTAGTATAACCAAAAACATGCACGCGAGTGCTGCAATGGATATGGAATAACTGTTTGGAGCCTACGGGGGTGTAATTTTAAAATCCGTGCGATGGGGCTTAGACTTCAAACTTCCTTTGACAATCAGGCCCTTGCCGATACTAACCTAAAACCAGGAAATAGCCCTCATGACTCATGACATGCTGAAATGTGATGAGCCTTCCTTTGCTTGAAGAACAGCATCGCTGCCTTGGCAAAAGCAGCAACTAGCAGGGAAACTGCATAGCCGTGTTCAAGTCGCTTATCCTTTAGGCAACTTGGCGGGGCTCATGTCGCACCAGATTGTTTGGGCTTTGTGGACAGATCTAGGCTACTAGGCACTGCACCTTTCTGGACAGTCTTCAGATTCTCAGACCTGATAGTCATTGGCCCCACATCAGTTTGAAACCTCTTGCACACTGAAGAAAACACAGCTTGCCCTTTGCTCCATTCTGTTTCAAAACAAACTAGCCTCCACGCACCATACAAAGAAAGAAGAAGCAAGGGGGTATTGAGAACAACGACTCGGATTTGGTACTGTTAGGCTTGAAGTGTTCACTTAGATGTCAAATATATTGCTGTAGCCTCTTCTTCAAACTTGATAGTCCCAGCATATTTGCTCCGAGTCATGTGGGTCAAATGCCAAACGTATAGCCATTCTTGCATCAGCAACAGAACCTCTTCGGTTTTGAACACTAAACTGCCAAAAAAACCAGATGTGATATACAGTACATCAATTTTATCAACTAGCCCAAGTGATTTTACTCGCGTGGAACTGCGGGTAAGGTGCATGACTGCGTGTGTTTGTTTGTCAAAGCATATTTTTTTGGCGCATTTTGTCCCTGGCGTCCAGACTCTGCAGATGTACACAGAGGCGGCAAGGGCACGATGGGCCTCACCAAATGATACAGGCAGATATATTTTGATGTGCTTTGACGAGCCTAAAGGCAAATACGTGAAGTATATACACATGGATACACATGGAGTGAATGACCCAAGGCGTCTCAACTGCCAATGACACTCATGGGCAATGCTTTTCGCTGGTCCAAACAGTTGCCGCACATCAGGGATCATTGCAGTTTAAAGGAAAAGAATGCAAACAATAGCTCCCTGCTACGGCTGGCAGTGCTCTGTTTGGGGCATGTCCAAACACAGCCCTGTATCCATGGGGAAGAATGAAGTCTATTGTCACCGGCATGTCACTTGATGATGGGCGACGCATGGTATGGGTATGGGGACTACATGGCAATTCTTTTCACTGTGATGCTTGTGGAACTAGCTGTCCACAAAGCGTTTGTCTCTTGCGAACATCATATAGTGTCCGGGTACCAAAACATTGGCTTGCGTTGCCCTGAAGATGCTGCTATTGGGGACCCCGGTGCAAAAAAACCCTAACTTTCAAGGTGCGTTGGGAAAATTCCCGTCGCTGCTACACTCTTTTCGATGCAGTCTTCCCAAATAGTTCTGTTGAAGCCGGATCTGGCTTGAAAATTTGGAACAAGGAACTCAGGCTGCCAGAAAATGATTTTCCTCCTGAGATATTGAGCTCGGAAGGCAAGTCTGCTGTACATCCAGTGCCCAAGGTAGGCCGACCTGGGCTGCAGTGGCAGCCTGCATTTGAAGACCTTATGCAAACATACGCAAGCAAGATTTTCCTGAGCAGCTTGCTCAAGCAGTTCAAACAGGTTCCAGCATCCAGAACTCCACTGGCCCCACACCCCGGGAGAAGCACACGTGCGGTGCCAAATTCTCGCCTGGAGGCACCAGAACTGCATACATCTGCGCCGGCACAACCGCTGCTGAGTGTGTGCTTTGCTTATCGTGATGCATAATCCTGATGGCTCTCTTCAATGCGCCTGCCTGACGCAAGCTCTGTCCATCCTGCTGCCTCCGTTAGAAAACAAGATGTGAACAACTGCAAATTAAGAAGGACACGGCTCCATCAGGAGGCCCATTGCAACATACTGATTGCAACACATTGCAACACAACAAATATGATCAAGTGATGTCAAGTGGTCGTTGGATGTGGAGGGACTCTGAAGGATTCCGAAGGATGTCAAGGCACCTGCAGAAGCTCTGACGCATCCAGGGATTCGATGACTGCCCGCTGCAGTGGCCATTGTGGGTGTTGCACCTGTCTTCACAGTAGCACTCAATAGCGCTGCAGAGTGGGCATGGCTAGACTATTGGGTTTGGGCGCCAAAACAGAACATCAAGGGCCAAGGCCCAATCTACATATTTAGCATGATTTTACCACACACACACACTCGTAGGTTCACGTTCACAATTACCAGTAGTACCGCGCAAGGCGGTGGCGGAAGTTTCAAAAATAGGAAACCTATAGGAGAGAATGGTAGTTGTGAATCACGGATGGCAGAGCGAACCGATTGCTGGACCGAAAGGTGGTTGAGGCTCTAAGCCTCCTCTCTTTCTCTCTCTTTCTCTCACTACCTACCTACCTACCTATCTATCTATCTACCTATCTATCTATATCTGACTATCTTTCTATCATTCTATCTATCTACCTCTATCCATCTATCTATCCATCCATCCATCTATTTATCTGCGTGCCTATCTTCCTATCTATCTACCTATCTACCTATCCACGCCACGGTGTCGAACTTCTTTTGACCCCCGCAGATCGCAGCGTGACCAGTGGAGGATTACCGTCAGAAAAGACAGAATCTGCAGTGTAGTGTGCTGTCGTGTTGTGTACTCTAGTGTAGTATGGTGTAGTGTAGTCTAGTGTAGTGTGTGTGAAGTAGTGTAGTTGTAGCCGTAGTGTAGTATCGTGTAGTTGTAGTGTAATTAGTGTAGTGTAGTGTAATGCAATGTAGTGGTAATTGTAGTTGTAGTTGCGGTTGCAGGTGTGGTTGTAGCGTAATGTAATGTAATTAGTGCAGGTTAGTGTTGTGTAATGTAGTGTAGCTGCAGTTGTATATGCATTTGTAGTTGTAGTGTGCTGCAGTTTAATTAGTGTAGTGTAGCGTAATGTAGTGTAGTTGTAATTGTAGTTGTAGCTGTGGTCGTAGTAGTTGTAGTTGTAGTGTAATTAGTGTAGCGAGTGTGTGATTAGATGTAATTACTGTAGTGTAGTGTAATTAGTGTTGTGTAATGTAGCATAGTATATGTGTATTTGTGGTTGTAGTAGTAGTGTAGTGTAGTGTCAATGGTAGTTGTAGTTGTCAACCTATCTATCTGTCTATCTGCAAGCTTGAAAACGAAGCTATTTGTTCTGCGAGACTTCCTCAATTTTTGACCTTGACAACATCAAAAACAAAGCAATTCTGCGAGACTTCCTCAACTCTTGAACTTGATAGCGTCAAAAACGAAGCAATTCTGCGAGACTTCCTCAAGTTTGGAAGTTGGCAACATCAAAAACGAAGCAATTCCGCGAGACTTCCTTCAACAATGGAAGATCGAGTGCAGAGCTGACGGCCTCGTGCCAATGTGTTTTGCGATTTTTCCAGTCCATGTCTCTAAAGTATTGCGCCTGCCACGAAAAAGTGAAGCCAGGTCATACGAAGTGCTGCACCTGTCACGCAAAATCATCTTAGCAAACCTGAAGATCTCATGCTTCAAAATGCAACCCTTCTCAGGATATCCCCGCCCTGACCTCCGAACATCTCTGATGAACATGTCTCTCGTACAGCGCCTGCCACAGAAAATGCATCTTTACGGATCCTCTTCGAACGTCCCGCGCCTGCCAACGCTTTTGAAAATGCCACACACGTTTTGCTCACTTTTGGCAAGGTGCAGAATCCCTTGTGCCTGCCACGCGAAACGACATCTGGTCCGTACCCCTCAGTTTTTTCCACTTTTGACTTCGAAACGTGCTTAGCGCCACAATGGCGTGCACTTTTTCGACATCTCAACTTCCGAGCATAGTGTGTTTTGTACATTTTGACTTGGAAATGTGCTTCGCGCCACAACGGGGTGCAATTTTTCGACATCTCACCTTCCAAACGTGCTCTGACACTGAGGTGCTTTGTCTTTGCGCACTCTGACTTCCAAATGTGCTTCGCTCCACAATGGCGTGCACTTTTTCGACATCGCAACTTCCAAAAGTGGTCCGGCGTTGGTGTGCTTTGGACTTCCAAATGTGGTTCGCGCCACAACGGCGTGCAACTTTTCATCTCTCATCTGACCGCATGGCTCCGCACCCGCTGCTTTAGCGAGCCTACTTTTCGACCCTCCGGAGCCACAAATCATTGGACAAACACGGTGAATCGCGGCTTTTCTACCTCTTCGCGCACCTGCATCTTGTTTCTTCTTAGACTTTCTCTTTTTTGATATTCTTTCTTTTTCTCTTCTCTTCTCTTCTCTGACTCTTCCCACCTCTGCTTTTCCACGTGCTCAAAATGTCGGAAGTTTGACTTCTAAACTTCCTTCGTCTACGTTTTCAAGCTTGCAGATAGACAGATAGATAGGTAGATAGATAGATAGACAGATAGACAGCTACAACTACAACTGCAACTACACTACTTCTAAAACTACAGATGCAAATACATGTAGAAAATACTACGCTACGTTACACTACACTGATTGCATTACACAACACTAATTACACTACGCTAGTTACAGTACACTACATTAAGTACATTAGAACTACAACAACTACTACAAATACAGCTACACCTGCAACTACAACTACACTACATTGCTCTACATTACACTACACTAATTGCACCACACTACAACTACAACTAATACCACAAATACAACTACACACGCACACACTCATTAGACTACTTTACAACTACGAATCCATTACTCTACGCTACAACTACAACTGCGCTACACCACAACACTCTACATCAAGCAGTTGTGGAAGAGGTGACCGCTGCAACCATTGCAGCCACTTCAAAAAACACAACTCCAACTACCTTTCGGTCCATCAGTGGATTTGCTCTGCCATTCGTGATTCACAGTTACTTCTGGTATATTCAGTCCAAATTTCTGCTGCTCAGTGACATCTCCACGAAGCAAAAGCGGTCCCTTGCCCCATGGCCAGGCAGCGTAAACAGAATACCTCGAGCATAGTGGGGCAACATGCAGCGCAGTTCAATGCATGAGAATACAGGAGCAACTTCATTTCTGATAACCACTGTTTCCATCTGTTTCCTTTCTGATTGGAACCACATTCTAAACTGCACTTTAGCTTTCATGTTGCTAGGTACTTGGTATATATATATATACGTACATCATCATCATCCTGTCTAGTGAAACCGCCCAACTTTCCATGCGCGGATGAAGGAGGGTTCTTTGGCTGTGAGATGTGGAATCTCGAGTTATATACTGATAATTCCCCAAGATGGGGGGGGCAGCAATTCCCCAAATAATGGGGGCAATAATTCCTTAAATGATGGGGGCAATACTTGCAACACAGCTTCTAAAGACAAAGAGATGGCCCAAGAATGCGGTAGAGAGACATGCTTGAGTATTAAATATACACACAATGACAACCAGCTGCCTCCTTTGCCAGTGTCAGTTTGGGTTTAGCACTGTGATTCAACATAAAGTGGACAAACTCATCAAACTCATCCAAGTGCCTCTCTACAAACCATCTCGCTCTGCGTGTGAAGCCATTCTCCGTATCGCAAAGTCCATCATGCTCGGAACCGTTGCCGCTTTGCAAACGCCACCGCGCAGAAACGCGTGGAGGGCTGCAGATGCCATAGCGTGTGGAAGAAAATTCAAAGGTGAAGCCTGCAGGAGCTGTGCAAGAAATCACAAGAATTGTCAGGGCGAAGTGGCTGTAAGCATCGTGCACCTCTACAAGTAGCAGACTCTAACAGCTTCCAACAAGGTTAAAGCCGACAAGATACTTGGCATCTTGAAAATTTCACTGCCTGGCTCTGCTTTTTGCACGTCGACATCCTTGTTTTTGGCAAAGGGCTCGAAATCGACACTTCTGGACCTTGCTGTTCGACGACATTCGTGGTCAACCACTCAAACACAGAGTGCTGGACATAATGGAACCAAATTTGCTACCGATTTGAGATTCCTGTCACTGGCTTCGCATCAAAAGGAGCAATGGCCCCAGTGATGGGCGAGAGACATGCTGGCCGGAAAGTATGGAATTCCTGCCGCCCGCGCGCCGATTGAAGCGAGAGTACCTGAGCAAGTGGGCGTATAGGAGCAGCATCATCGCCCAGCATGGCTGGAATCCGCACCAAGCTTGATGATGAACTGAAAGAAGTCTCGTATTCTGGTATACCAACGCACACAAATATCAACGTTACACTCACTACGAAGAGGGGCGCGCGGATCCCTGTGGCTGCATTCTGCACTTGCAACTGAACATACTATTCTTCAAACTGGAGCAGCGAATTTCAGAGGTGGATCTGGCACAGTCTGACTATGCACAAAAATTGGACTCACCATGTCTCAATTGCAAAACCAAGATCACATATATAATCATAATAATATATATATATATATAATATCCCCCTTTGTATTAAGTGAAAGGGTTGGTGTTGACAATTTTATAGTGATAAATCAGGAGGACATGACCCCCCTTTCCGAAAATGCACCTATAGAATCAGAGACCCCAAGGTATTTTCAAGTTGGCAATCTCTATAGAATCGATGCCACCAAGTCACTCTCGTAGATGGTTGGGGGGGTTAGTTGGCCTTCTATAAAATCAGGCTCCCCAACCCTTCTTTATTGACAGCTGACCTGAATACTCTAGTTGCTCTTGCCCATCTTGCCTTATGCACGTCAATTTTATAGAGCCCAAAGGCTCCAAGTGTTCACTGCCAACCCCTTCAATTTTATAGACTGGTGAAAAATGCCTGAAAGATCTTGAAAATCGCTCTGTTTCGTTTTGTTTCATTTTGTTTCCATCCGTTTGCTCTTTTTTAGCGGAAAGGCGGAAAGGCTGGCTCGAGGACTTCGACCCAAAAACGGTGAGACACACGGGGGAGACACAACGGGGAGACACAACGGGAAAATGAAACAAAATGAAAAATGTCACTTTTATAGTTTGTAAACCAGAAAAAGCTGCTTTTGTAAGATATTGAAATGTCAAAATTGTACATATTTGCTGAATATAATTGATGATGACTGATGAAACCCTGATGATGGATCTCCAACAAATCTCCAATATATCCCAAAAGTATCCAAAAGTATCCAAAAGTTTGAAAAAATATGTGAAGATTCCAAATGATTCCAAAATATACAAGATGATCAAGGATGATCAAGGATGATCAAAGAATTGTTGTGGGAAATTGGTTCTGCCAATACTTCTGTATAAAATTGAAGAACATGACATACATCCAAAGAGAACATATCCCACTGTAGAATCGCAGTCCCTAAGACTCTCTGCTGACTAGTCCCCAGTGCTGTATTCAACATGAAATCTCTATAGAATCAGAGGCCCCAAGGTCCTCTATAAAATTGTAAGCGTTGACGTTGGGTAGGTACCCCTTATTAAGTCAGGGGGTTAAAATGCACCATTTTCCTGGCCCCAACGTTCTCAATTCTGTAGAGGAAATTCCAAGGGGGATTATATAATAGTGTGTGAGGCCAAATACAACAAACGTGATCGATCTTTGCATCTTTGTGTCTGTACTGATCCTCTTGGATTGTCCAGCACCAGTGACTCTGACAAAACATGGCTGATGGGCACCTGTCATGAGAATTCAGTTGGGGCACTAGAGCACTCCAGAGACCAAAAGAAGATCCCAGGTACACCATTGCGCCGAACATAGGTTCCTGAATGCCAAGCTTACGAGTTCATGAGCAGTGGATGTATCGGGTCTTACCATTGTGGTGTAAGGGTTCGATCAATTTCTCCTCCCTTCAGATTCACAGCGTTTTGTCCCTCTCATCATTGCCAGCACGTGTGCCAGTCAGTACACATTTGCTGTGGTGCAACCAAACATCTTCTTTTGAGGTTGACTGGTTGGCTCCGTTCAGCTTCGTGGAATTTTGCGGTTGGCCAAAAATCGCAATTTCTCTGCGCACCTGTGCGCACCAATGCGGAGAAGTCTCTGATGTTGGCTCCCAAGTGGTCGATGGGCGGCACCAGTGCTCGACCCAAAGGATGAGAGGAGGAAACGCCACGTTCAGTCAGCAGCACCAAACCCACCCACGCAGAACCATCCATGATGTCTGGTTCCAGGCCCCTGCGGGAGAGACGCGGGATGAAAAAAGCAAGCGTTCCCAATTTTGGGGTTTGACAGAGCACTTCAAGGCGAAATTCCATATTTCATAGCACTTCATAGGAATGGGAAGGGCTACTCGCAAGGATGTCACATTCAAATCTCGCTGCTAGATGCCGCTGGCTCATCTACATAGCTGGAGACGCTCCATTCATCAACGTTTTGCACGTGTCTGAAAGTGGCAAACTATAAATCACAATGGTGACTCTCATGGCGTTCAAGCAGGCTCCTTACTTCAAATCTATCTGCTTAACAAATGGCCGACATCAAAGCAATGTCCCCATGTGTCCCCTTCTTCCATGCAGCTACCCCTCTGAATGCCTTAAGAACTCACAATCTGGCGTTTTCTGCGAAAGCATGACAATAAGCATACTACTAAAAACAAGACCGCTTTAATCAGTCTTTAAGCACAGTTCCCACCATTAAAAAGAGGATTTGAAACTGGCAGTAACTGTTCCCAGCCAATTTTCAATAAAACGTCGGCTTCTCTATCACGCGCCAGGTTCGCCAAGACCCTTCGTTCTACAGGTTTCTGCGCTCTGCGCTAGTTCTGCACACACCGCCTGGGCAACATCTCTGTGAGGCGCTCTGGCAGTACAGGCCAATGAACGAACAGTGCGTTCTCCCAGGCATCGTGCATCATGAAGCCTTGCTGCAACGAGGTAGACGCGAAGGTCACAACTTGACGGTCAACTAGAATGATTGGAACAGCTTGGAGATTCCGATGGTCCACGGTCTTTACCAAAGACTTCTTGCATCTTGTCGCAACCTGTGCTCCAAGAGACGAAACTTCAAATACCTCTTCGCTATCAGCGCTTGAGATGCTTCTATTTCAGCCATGGCGACGATCTTTATGACAGGACCAATCAAATCAGGTCTTTTGCCACTTGACTTGCCGAATAGTCTGCGATCTATAACTTGTGAAAAGGCGCATCAACTGTCATCTGCAGCATCTACTTTTTAAACCAAGCCATGTCAGGTTCATTGAGCGTCCGGGCAAGCTGTGCTTGAATCTGCTTCAAGAATCACCGACAAGATCCTACAAGTATATATAGACTTTAGCAATCAATCCCTGCAGGCCCCTTCCAAGACCTCTTACCGCCAAGATCACCTCTCATTTGAAAGGAGACTTGCCTATCTTTTGCCATACAAGTGCAAATGTTGTGGCTATGCTTTGCGTGCTTATGTCAGGTAAGCCCAAGCCTGCAATCGAACACATCCGTCATACAGCTTTCTTACTGCCAATCCGACCTTTCAAGGTTTGTTGGCTAGAACCGGCAATGCGTGCAGGATTGGGAGCCACTGCAGTGCCTGGATCAAGCGAATCATCCGACCTAATTTCATTTAACATCATTTAACTTCTAATATTTCCACAGCATCATCTTTGCACGACATTCAATCCAGGATTCGCGCCTAGCATTCAAATTCCTTCACACAACACTGACATTCCTTGCAAAATACTGCAAGACAATGAAAGACATGTGCCAACAAATTTCAAGCCCCCTGAGATCCCGGCATCTGTGCCACCGTCTCTGTAAGCTGCGCAGATGCTGTGGGCTTTGCATCACAGATCTGGCAGGCGAAAACTTGATCGCGTGATCTGCTGAGCATACAGGCTGTCTCAAGCCTTATCATGGGTTAATCAGGCTCAATTTGTTTTAAGTGTCAGCGTATGGCCTATGCGCAATCCCACAAGTGCAGATTCATATGTAGCGAGCAGGAGAAGAATAGCTTAAGTACGCGCAATACAGTTTCAAAACCAACCAAAGATAGGGGAGACATGAGGGCGCCACAGGGACGAGCCAAAGGGACATTCAACCCGAAGTGGTGTAAAATTGAGCACCAACGACAGCCACTTTGGGACCAATCGGGATGTTCCCAACTGAGTCGCTCACCATCCGTAGAATTCTCCGGTCAGGGAGCGACCTGGTACCGAGGTTCGTGGTGAAACCACTCTATATATACTCTTGTCAAAGTTAAATCTCAAGCCAAGCATGTCAGTAATGGCAATATTCGAACCGAAGCTAATCCCCACTTAAGACTTGACTCATTGAGATCACGCTTTTTTCCTTTTCTTGATGGGTCTTCCAGTCTCTCAGCCACTTTGAGAGTTGATGTGCTTTCTTGCTTTCTCCCTCCTTCAATGTCTAGTCTCCATCCATTGTCCACCCGAAGAGGCGGATTGCATGAGACATACCGCAGGCCAGCAAATTCTGACACTGGATGGATAGAATTATCATGAATGATCCCTGGAATGTCCTAAAGTTCTTGACTGAGGTCAGGGCATCTGCCGCGCCAGCCGGGCTGCCTTTGATCCCCAAGAATCCTTGGTGGTGTTGATCATCAAACGAGTACTGAAAATGTCCTTGTATATTCTTATCGCAAATGGACCTAAAACAGTCTCTTCTATCGTTGTCAACATGATGCGATCATGTGTGATGTGATGTTTTCTGGGTGTTTTGGCAACAGCTGGAGAGTAGTACGCTTGGTCCCTTCTGGGATCCTGGACCAAGATCGAATCCTCAAGCTGGATGATGCTTGCAGCGTGCAACCTAGGGGGATCTTCGTTCTGAGCAAAAACAAGCAAAACATTGTGAGGCACTGTGCCTGAAATCGCTTTGATGCTTTCTCCCCTTGCAAGAATGCCTCCTGCAAAGCTAGGAATGTTCTTCTGGCTCAAAGCAAGGATTGACTCCCGATCAATCTTGCACAACTGCCCTGTACAGTACCTGTAATTGTACTAGACTTGAGGCCATGATCAAATGATATCAAATGTCTGGCTCAGACAATCGCTGAATCATCCCTTGCGCCCTCCACCCCTCTCAGCCGGTCTCAGCCTCAAACACTCGCAATGTCTTCTCTGCGGTCTGGCGGGAAGCTGCACGCTGTGCCTCAAAGACTTACATGAGGTGAAACTGCCATCAAGCTGGCGATCAAGCCTCGCAAGAAACTCAACTAACGCCGTACTACTGAAGTGGAATATACCTCTCTCAAACGCATCCATATCATCCATGACGTACCTCCAAACATTTGCACCTATCGTTTAGGTGCCATCTGCTGAGCATGCCGAGTTTTGCTCGGCAGCGTATAGTTTTCCGTGTCTGGCTTAAAGAGAAATCGTTTTGTCCACTCCCGCTGTCTGCTGTACTGATCTGTACTGCTTTTATTTTGCCCAGGTGCTGGGAAATCAAGCCCTCAACCCATGCTTTTCCATGATGTTCAATGTCAAGCTATACATTCCAATATCCCTATTTTCCAATGCACCTCAGCTGAGCAGATAAGCTTGGAAACAAGGGCTGCCTGGCGATCATACCATTCATCTTGCTTGTGGTGCTGCCAGCATTTGTGACTGCAGAGCTGCAGCAAGACTTCGTGGTCTCAGGATGTCTCAGGTATGCTCAAATGACACGACTTATGGAATGACAGCAGGAAGACACGCGCACACACACACAGGTCTCTCCACCCGTCAAACTGCTTGTCTCGGCCAAGCTTTTGGGCCTCATCCTCGCCGGCAGACAAAGATGCCAAGCAATGCACAGCGTCAGCGAAGTGGTCTCGGACAAAACTCTTTTCCTGGCACAGTGGATCTTCTCCCTCCATGGAAAGCTTTCAGGAACTTGGAGTTTGGAGGAACTGCACTGTTTACTATTGTATCTTGGGTTATGAGGTTGGTATGATTGCAGTGCGCTCAGCTGCAACCTATTTTGACTTGAGCCACAATGGTAGATCCGAGCAGCTTCACAGCGTGTCATCCTGGCAATGCCAGGGCCAAAGTGGACAACCCTACAAGCAACTGGTCAGCAAAAAAGTGAAGCTATACATCTTATCTCAACAGGTGGTTTGAGTAATGGACAACTTCGTATCCGCACTCCCCCCTGGTCATTCTTGACCAGCCACCTATGAAAAAACTCAAAACTACTTTTCCGGCTGCAGCCTCTCAGACGTCGGTTACGTGGCTCCAGGCATCATCATCGGCATCTTCACCACCAACGACTCCCCAATGTTCCAAGTCATCAACCACTAGGCGGGCACGATCCCTTGCCGTACCACGGCCATACCCAGGAGTCACCGGCATCTGCTGAGGCACTTGCTGCAGTCGCCCTTTCATAACCAAGTTTCCATAGGGATCACCTCGAACTTGTTCGGAAAGATCACCTCGAACTTGTTCAGAAGGATCACCTCGAACTCGATCAGGATGGTCAAATCCGGTACCTCCAGGCACATTGAAAGATTTAACCCGGAAGAATGCCCAACCATTCCACTGGTCTTTCTGGGGATCTTTTACAGCAGCCGTCCAACGGTCCTCTAACACAAAGCGCTCCCCAGTGCTCTGGTTGAACCCCACTGTGACGCGGTCCAATTCCAGATTCTCACCCTGGACTGGTGCACCCTTGTGCAAAGGATGAAACAGATGCTTCCGCTGTTCCTTGTGGCTGCGGACAACCAACCGTCAGTGAGCTGGTCGAGTACCCAACGGTCCGGTCCTTACCATGGGACGGTGGGACCTAGTACTCTGCCGCTGTCCATGGTTGAGAGCCACCACGTGGAGCTTCTTCGGATTGCTGAGTTGCCGTAGAAGCTCGCGGAGCCGTTGTAGAATTGCCTCCGACTCCCCCCGGATCTGCAAGCGGTTGGTCATCCCCAAAAATTGATGGCTCATACCTGTCATCGGGTTCCACGGCCATTTCAGCTTCTAGGGCTTGTAGTTCAGCCATACCAGCATCTTCCACACTGGGAGGTTTTGATCTTTGAGGGGCCTTTGGTACCTCTCGTGACAGTGTGGCTGCTTACCTTCCAATCTCACTGGTGGATCTCGAGGGTCCGCAACCCCTTCGAGCTCGAGGCGAGGATTAGGGCTGGACCAAATTGGCTTCTTCATCCAGCGCCACCCGTCCATTGGTCATGAGCGGTGATGGCCCCATAATCCCCATAATCCTCATAGTTTTGTAAGGTGCAGAAAGTGCCCCTTCTTTGGCTCGATGCCACCTTTTGGCCTTCATTTGGGCCAAAAACTGCGAACTTCGGCATTTCCTTGCAAGGAGCGCCTAGCTTTCTCATTTGTGATCTCAGCCTCTCTTCGGTACCGTGGCGTGCGGCACGTGGCCAACAGGCGGTGTTGGCCTTTGAGTCTGCAAGCAATAGCCGCAACCTTCTTTTGAATTGGAGTACTTCTCCTGCTACTCTGCCGTTCGCTTCTGGTTCGTCGCCCGCATTTAATGTCTGGGATACCTGTCGCTCCAGGCACCAAGTGGAGATGCTCTTGGTTGTAAAGGATCGTTCTCGATCCGTGTGCAGTCTATA